CAACAGGATTAGATTCTAGTATTGGTTTACTCTATGGAGTTGTGTGAGTTTAGTCCAAGTGAGGCAAAATGTCCATCTTTCAATGACATTGGTTATCACCATTAATTCACCTAGCCTCATATTCTGATATAAATAATTCCCACATTATTACCATTCCAGTCTTTTGGCATTTTATTTCCACAGAAGTTGGCTGGAGCATATCTCATTATCAGGGATATAAATAGCATTTAGACAAAGACTAGCTTAGCTTAAAATCTGAAGTGTGAATTTACAAATATGGGAGCTTCCTGGGATGGAGGGTGTTCGAGTACTTTCAATTGATGAAGTCCAGAAAAGCAATGTGATTGCAAAAATGGCCTCCAGTTGTCATGCCTTTCTCAGTTCATGCCCTTTGCCATGAAACTTTGTAGTGTCTCCTGCTATAGCTCTAGGCTTGGTCATGTGACTTCCTTTGACAAATGAGGTAGAAAGCAGGCAGAAACTTGCAAAATACTTAAGCCTTTTGGCTTGTTCTTATCCTTGCTCTTCTGCCTTTACCATGGGAATGTGCTATGGAGGAGCTTCTTGGAAGATGTAACACATGGAATAGAACTGAATTGTCTGGCCATCCTAGTGACTCCATTCTACAGAGTACAGCCAAAATGAATGAGGCTAGCCAAGACCAGAAAATATGCCCAGTCTAAGTCATTAATCCACAGACTCATGAGCTAAATATATATTTCTTGTATGCCACTGAGGTTTTGTGTTATTATTTGCAGCATTATTGTGACAATGGATAACTGATATACTAAATCTCTCAAAGTCTTATGTTTTTGGTAAAACAGAATTCAACCCAAAGAAACAGAACATGAAAATACAGCATGGGTACCAGAATTTAAACAAAACCTGAATTCTAAAATACCAGTAAATTAATTGTACCCAATCTTACCTTACATAGGTTTCCTAGGAAAAAAAGGCCCAGAAGAATCATGATTATTCTTGGCATGTTGCTTTGTGCAAGGCCCAAGGAAAGCTAGGAGGCTGTACAGTTATCTCCCTTGATATAATTCTAAACTATACAACCTACTACCTCAACCTGGGAACATGCAGTTGCAATGGCTGGAAAGTACCATTTCTTAAACAATGAAATTGCAAGTTAGTCTTATAAGTGTTCGTGCTGTCACCTATTTGGGCCATTCATAAGAAACAACATACCATAGGGCCTGACAGCAGAGAAAATAACACAAGAACCTCAGCTTGAGATGATGGTGCAGACAAGAGAGAAAGTACTTGGGATCTGTCTTCTTGAAATTATTTGTGCATGAAAATTATGGAGATGTTGTATAATGGCAGTTGTTCTGATCAAGCTAGTGCCCTCTGGTATCTTTTGACAGAATACAAAAGTAGAGCAATATTTAAACTTGGACAAGTGAAAAAAAGATTATAAAAATAAATGTTTCTCTTGTGAAACTGAAAATCTCGAATTTCTAAAAGGTCAATAAGCAAGGGGAAATAGTTTAAGCCAAAAGACAGTAGAAAGATATGGACAGCAAGATTCTGAGCAGAGATAGGTCAACAACTAACATACAGGCTATGATGAGCATTCACGCAGCAGTGCTGATCACACATATTGCATAATCCATATATTTATAAAGTGCTCCTCCTTCCAGAGCTGAATGTTTCAGCATTTGCCATAAAGTCTGTCCCCAACAGTTTATTTAGCAACATATAAAAATGGGACTGTATTTTTTCTTTATGAGAGAATATGTAAATTTCCCTATTTGTTCTTTTAATTTTTAATCTGGGTCTTTCCTTTATCTTCAGCTCCAGTGAGGTGCTGGAGTAGCAGACAGACTAACAAGCTTGGTGACGCCCCCTGTCCATGCGAGCTCATATTTGCTGAGGTGTGCCTTTTCCCATGAGGACTGCTCTGTGGTCTATGATGGTCATCTCTCTTCATTGCTTAGCTTGACTCTGGTTTTGCCTGGTAAAGGCTGTTCCACAAAAGAGCTGGGCCTATGCATATACAGATGGAAGAGTGTCTGAATACACCAGGTACCAAAGAGTGATAATTCTATGGTGCTCCAAATTCTGTAGGTTTGGTGTTCTTCATGCTCCTCCACTAACCTGCAGAAGGACCTCTTTTCCAACCGTCCTCCCTCACACAGCTATCATAGGGTGTGGCAGCTTTTTTGAGGAGGCTACCTCTGTTGGATCAATGCTACACGGTTTGGGGAAAACCTTGGGAAGTTAATTTTATCAAGCAAACTCGCACTCATCCCTCAAACCTCAATTCAAAGAGTTCTTCTTCTGATTATCTTACAGTTCTACACCACATGTATAATTTAACTCTAACATCACCACATTATCATTTATATTTCTGACTCCTTGACTAGATCCTGAACTATTTGAAAACGGGACAGTGCCACTCACCTTTGCAAGTCTAGTATACCACCTGCATGCCTACTACTTAACAGATAGTGGAGATCTAAAGATATGTTTGCTGAATGCAAACAAAAATGAATGAATAAGTGAATGAATGAATAAAATGGACTATGAACCTAAAGTTAAGGGCCAAGTGATTGTTATTTTTATGTTAGGTTCCTTGTTCTTCCACTTATATTGTAACTTCAATCGTAGCAAAGTGCATTTGCTATAAAGATTCCCAAGGGAGGAAACTCAGATTGGTTGAGTTCAACCTGGCAAGTTTGCCTCAAGTCCTGAATTTCATGTGGAAATTCAAGAATAACTGTGAATCCTTTGCCTCTAGATACTAACTTACGTATAAGATTTAATATTTACTGGGAAATTAAAAAAATTACTTCTTTCCTTTGCATTTGAATTTCCCTCCTTTTTCTTGTATTGACAATTTCCCTGAGTCTGTAAACATCTTTTGAATGGGAGACAAGGCAACGAGGGTGGGTAAGAGTTAACAAAACAAGAGCAACAAAGAAAGGATTTGCTCTCACGAGCTAAACAGCTAGTGTCTTAGCCTAAACGTTTAACTTATAGATCTTTCAAATATCTGGAAATGGCAAATTAATCTTTCTCCATGTACATCTTCCAGCAGTCAAAGATAGAAGGATGTTGCCCTTAGAATACTAATAGTTTTCAGTACACCGCTCTTTTGCTTGCATGAATTTCTGTTTATTTACACCAATTTTAGCCCATTACCATGTATTAGTGCAATTATGGCTTATTACATAATCAGTGTAAATATTTGTAGGCATGTAACAACAACATGCAATTATGATATAGAATGGTGTTATAAAACGTCTCATTGAAAAGAGCATTTCTAGGAGAACAGTAGTTATAATGTGTTTTAAGTATGGAAAGTCTATTGTACTCTTTAACTTTAAAAAGACATATTCCAAAGGTATTCTAAATACCTTTAAGTGCTACCAACAACAATCCCCCCAAATGAAGAAAAGAATGAACCTCAAGCATAGCACAAGTGTCTAGAATTGTGAAAAGCAGGGGATCAGATCCCCATTAGTAAACATATTCTGTATTTGATTAGGTATTTGGAAGTTGGACAAATGTTGTGATTAAAACATGTGATTCATTAAAACTTGTGTCAGATTGGCTGAGATGCAACTCTGCAAAGGGACTCCTGACCAGATAATTAGTTTTTTGAAGTAAGAGTTATAGCTTCGATCTTCAGCAAAGTGCTGAACAAATAGTAAGCATCTACAAAGGTGTGTTGAATTAATGAGAGTGTATGAATCTTAACATTTCTCCAGCTATATGGCTACACCAAAGGAAAAGAGTGGCTCTATTATGACTCACACTTTATTGACAATTATGTTAGCTGGTAATAAATCTTTGAAATTTTTGAAGAGTCACTCATATTGATGTCTTTGTAAAGTTCCAGCACTATTACAGGCATAAGAAACTTTAAAAATCTCCATTAGAGAGGTTTTTGGTGAGGTTAAATACCATAGTCAGCAGACAAGGATCAGCAGGACCTCACGAACATTGGAGGGATTGGTAAGCACATTAAAAAACAAGAAATTATATTAACTTAAAATTCAAAGTTAATTCTCTACTACACATACCATTTTCCCATGTAGAAAATTCAATTTATTAATTTTCAATTACAAACAAGAAATCCTTTCAAAACTAAACATCTGCTCTCCCATCTCCCCCAAACACTGATGATCAGGGGCGAATTGCTTTATCAAATGCAATTCTTGGAATAGTTTTTTTTCTGTTTAAGAAAATCTAAACTATATTTTGTTGCTACTGCTAAATAAATGCATTTTGATAGTAATGACTTGAGAATTTTACTAAAACTAGTTTGTTTTATTCCCAGTCTCTCTAAACTTTCATGTAAGAATGACTACTGAAAAATATTTTAGAGTCTTTTAAGGAAAAACCTGACATTCTGCAACTTCCTGTAGAATATTTGGTCCACTTTGAGAGACCCCAAAGGAATAATTAGTGTTAATAGCACCATTCATTCACAGGGAAGAAGGGAAATCACTGAATTTAAACACCATGTGAAATATTTAAAACTCTTTTTCTTGTGACCAGTGTCCAGGGTCTTTGGGCTTTCCACTAGGACATTTCCTAGCCAGGGGAATCAGGTAATAATGTCTTAGGTCTTTTAGAAATGCTGAAAGGATTGACTGCTCAGCATAATCTTTTTTCTTGGGGTTTAAACCCACTCATTAAAAGAAGCAACCTGGCAGTCACCCACTGGCCACCCTGCAGCCCTTGTGCTGTCCTGTTCAGGGAATGAGGCAGCTCAGTGTCCTTGGGATTCATGAACTCCTTTGGTCCCCTGGTAGCACACTTAGCAGCAAGTTAAAGAGGTGATAAGTAGAGATGTGATTTTGCCTTTATCAAATGTGTTTATCCAAAGAAGGTACACATTTAATTTGCTAGCAGTTTATCCATTCTCGGCCAACCACATCAAAGAGGCATGTAAAACCAGCCAAGTAGATTGTTTGCTTAATGGGTCGACAAAGGCTTTGGGCAAACGACACATGATACGCACCAATGAGGACAGCCTTTTGCTTCTGGATGTAATGTTCCATCATTCCATAATAAAGCAGTGACTTCCTCGCAGGCTGGAAGGTGAGACCCGCAGGCAGCCCTCCTCCGCGAGGAACAGAGTGCACATGAAGGAAATGCACGTTCACACTGTCCGCTGCTGTGGCATGTGCAGAGCTGGATATTCCACCCTTCAAACATATGTGATCTGTATTGGGCCTTCCTAATTCTGACATACAAAATTTAACTTTTATATACTTTATAGAAGAGTTCTAGCTATCTCTGAAAGGTGTGGCTCTTAAGAAGAGACAGCATTTAATGAAATAAAATGTATCTATTTCTGTTTCAAACTTTTTGCTGATGTTCACTCAATAACTACTTCATATGGACTCTTTTTGTTATATATAAAAAACTGTACAAAAATGAACAAAAAACTTAAGGGAATTCCTGGCACCATGTTGGACCAAAAGGGAATGCAAATATTTAAGTCATTCAGGTTGGGTCAGCTCTTCACCCTGGTCCTGTTTAGGGACTCACAGCTCACGTGGCCGGAATAAAACAGATACAGCCACTTTTGCTTTGATCTGCAGTCAGTTTGGCTTTCCAATCTTGGCGCAAGGGTGACATTTAAGAAGCAAAGGGAGAAAATGATTTTCATTCCAGCCTTTTAAACATGAAGACTCTGGACAAATCTGAGGTTGGACCCAAACAGGCTATTTCTTTTTCATTAAAAAGTTCTTTTTTTTCTTACAGTACTGGATATTTACAGAAATAGAAATAGTTAAGCACATCCATTCCTCTCATTAATTTCACCTTTAAAGATAAAGGCTAATTAGACTGCACTTGGAGAGCAGTGGGTGAGAAAACATTGCTACAAGGTGCCACCCAAATCAGAGGGCAATGGGTCTCGTAAGCAAGTCTCTCTTAGTTTCCAAAAAAAGGCTATAACTGAAAACAGTTAGTCAAAATTACAGAAAACAAAATAAAACCTTGTTTAGTATCTATTTCCTCATTACTCAACAATAAGTTGTCTGAGTCACCCAAATTCTTGCTGCCTCATCTGCAAGCCCAGTCTCTCAATGATAAGTGAAATTAATATAAGAGATAAGGGAATTGAGCGCAAGCTTATAAAGTAATCACTGAAGAATCTCATTCATTTCAGAACAAAGTCTCCTTTCTCCATACCAGCCCTTCTTTCCATTTCCACCATTCCTAAGAGACCAGGGGAAGGGAGGGAGACTGAAGGCAGCTGACGGTATTGAGTGACCCAGGCAGAGCCCTGGTCTGTGAGATTGCCCAACAGACACATACCTGTAGACACAAGCTTGTGTGGACTATCACCACAAGTTCGGATCTACGGGTTTGTGGCAACAGGCCTCAGTGTCTTCTCTCATTTGGGGGTTTGGCTTGTCTGAAAATAAAATGTTAAAACCATTAGTCCAACCAAAGATTCTGCCATCCTGATATTTTGTGCTAGAAATGGAAAAACTTCGTCCTGCTCTGAGAGAGCAAAAGTTAAGCCGCATCTTCCATGTTCTTCCCCACAGACCTCCCTTTGTTTTCATGGACTCTGCACACACAGCCGCTTCAGGTAAACCTCATTTTACTGTTTAATATTACAAAACACACATTTATTCAGTCCTTAACACACAATAGGGCAAAGGGATATCAGTATAGAAAATGAGCAGAATAAAGGAAATTCTTTAAATTGTAAGGAAAGGGCAGGGAGAGAAAAACACTTGAGGGTCCAAATGCAAGTCCATTCTTTTAAATATCTGTAAGTCTATGAAAAGAGGTGGTGAAATTTTTCTTTTCCACTTGCATTCTGGAAAACAGCTCAAACAAACTAGCAAGCACCACTAATGGGCTTATGAGTATTTTTAAAAAATTTATCTTTATTGTTGAATGTATTACTGATGCCTCCTTTTTCCTCCCATTGATCCCCTTCACCTCACATCTGCCCTACCCCAGGCCTTCCCCATCCTATTATCTGTGTCCATGGGTTATGCCAGTCAGAGAAAGACAAGTATCACTTGATCTCACTCATATATGGAATCTAATGAACAAAATAAGCCAATGAACAAAATAGATTCAGAGACATAGAAGCATGGAACAGACTGAGGAATCTCAGAGGGAAAGCGGGGGAGGGGGAATGGGTGGGGAGAGATTAATCAAAGAATTTGTGAATATTTTTTAAGAACTATTCTAGAGGAGATTTGCAGCTACATTAAATTGGAAGATTCCTTTTCAGGAAAAGTTTGTACTTTTATTCCCCACCCTCACTCTACCCCCAGTATTGGTTCAAACACCAAAACTGAGCAAGTGTTGGCATATTTAATAAAATTTGTTCCAGAAAAGAAATTATATAATTTCATCCCCCAAACTGTTTGAGGATGTTGGAATCTGTTTCTGAGTCTTTCTCATACAATGATTTCATTTGTCAATATAATATACTTCCTTCAAAACCAAATTTCTGGTTGTAAGAATGGAACATCCAAGACACAAAACTTTCATTAATGGCTCCTTCGTGAGTTTTATTGAAGACATAGTTTTAATCATATGCACTTTAAGGACACATGAGAGAAAGTGAAATAATCCCCCTCCTTTAGTGTTTGGCAAAACATGCATGGTCATGCCTTTGCAGGACCTAATAAAACACTTTTCATTTTTGGTAGCAATGTCTACAGATCTGGGGTCTCAAAAATATTATCTCTTTTGCCTCAACATATGAACTTTCATTCCTTTCTTAAAAATCTAGGAGGTTCTACTAATAAACAAGATGGAACTGAATTTGGGAATTACTCAGAGAAAAGAGCAGGTCCTTATGTACACACCTAAATGGTGAAAGCAGGAATACAGGGAACAAACAGCAGGCCCATGGGGACTGAGATGCAATCCTTCACAGGCACCTCGCTGTCTGCCTGCTTCATCGCCACTGAGCTGTCTGTGGTGCGGGACTACATGTAGTCCTCTGGCAGTGCAAAGGGTGCCAGGTCTCAGGATTCACTTGCAGCTTTGTGGCTTGACTTTTAGATCCAAAGAAACAACAACAGCAGGTGGAAGTAGGTGGGATACAAACCAGTCACCTGGAAATGATCTTTATTTTATTTTAAAATGTTCATTTCCTTTCTAAAATAAAAGATTTTAAAATAAACTCCGAGCCTCTTCTTTTCCTTGGATCCCTGACAAAGGCGTGGGGCTGGAGGTATCTGTGGACAGTCACTGAACACTGACAAGTGTTGCTAAAGCACGTGTGACCTCGGGCTCTAATTAAGATACAAAGGAAGAGGCCCAGGCCCCGAAGGGATGAGAAGATTTTATCATCAAGTTTATTAAAAACATGATGCAACGTTTGTTAGCAATGGGCAAAACTTTTCCAAAATGTTACATGTAGTCGTTTAAGTGGCACCACCTTCGTAAGCCCATAGGGAGGAATTCAATGCTGTGTTTCAGTCGGGAGGCACCTCTGTATCTTTTTTTTTTTTTTGGCAACTGTGGGACAGAAAAAAAATCGTATATTCTAAATGGTTTGTAGCATTAGCTTCTAAACAATTCAGTTTTAATTTTAGAAAATAAAAGAGAAATTAGAAGGTGCCCATGCTGCAGAGAAGAGAAAAAGTCAAATACTGACCAGGTAGAAGAAGGGCTTGTTTGGGAATAGGTATTTTCTAAATATTAGCTGAATTTTTCCTTCAAGAACCTTCTTTGTATTCAGAAGAAAAATAAGCATTCTTTCAGAGGAAAGTTTGTCTTGCTTTATTTATTTATTTTTAAAATATATCTTTATTGATTTCAGAGAGAGGAAAGGAGAGGGCGAGATAAAAACATCAACGATGAGAGAGTCATTGACCAGCTGGCCCGCAACCCGGGCATGTGCCCTGACCGGGAACCGAACCCCGATCGCCTGGATCCTAGGTCGACGCTCAACTGCTGAGCCACGCCCGGCAGGGCTGTTTTGCTTTATTAAGCAAAATTCTATGGGGCTCTTATAGATAGTAATACTAATAATTAAGTTGGAAAATATAGGCTCATGCTTTTCAAAATGGCAAAATCAGGGTAAGAAAATTTGTCAAGCAAATATATTACTTACATTATTAAAAAAATGTCTATTTGGCATAAAGCCTTTCAATAACACTGAAAGGAAACTACCTATATCAATAGCTGAGCTCAAATCTTAGTCGCTGGGTCCAGCCGGGCGTGGCTCAGCAGTTGAGCATCGACCTAGGATCCAGGCAATCGGGGTTCGATTCCCGGTCAGGGCACATGCCCGGGCTGTGGGCTGCAGCCGATCAATGACTCTCTCATCATTGATGTTTCTCTCTCTCTCTCCCTCTCCTTTCCTCTCTCTGAAATCAATAAAGATATATTTAAAAAAAAAAAAATCTTAGTCACTGGACATGCAAAGAGATAGTTCCATAAAATGCACATAGTATTACCAATCTAGGACTAAAGTTAAAACAGCCATTATGCAATTTATGTAATAAGCCCCATCTTCCAGGAATTTAGAGCAAATGGTGGGTTTTTCAGAAACAGTTCTCTAATACTTATATTCTTAAATTTAATTACCATAGATAATGCAGAGTTTAAGGACGGTGACTGCTGGTTTAAATGAGTTCTGCCTAAATCATTGTTGAAAGAAGTGGCACTGTTAAGGAATTTTTCAAAAATATTTTGGAGCTCCATAAAATTGAACACCATGACTGCTCTACTCATTGGCTATGAATATTATAAAAGTGGTTGCTATTTTTAAAAATCAAGTTGAAAATGTAATTATTCTTCATAATTAACTCATTTAAGCATACCCTAAAAATCTGCAATGTTTGAGGACAGAGGTGTTAGGGAAATTATAGGAAAATACTATTACCTGAAAAAGTAACTTCTTATGAATCTTATTTTTTAAACCTGTTGCCATCTTGCTAGGTCAATATCTTCAAACTATCCACACGTGTCTGGAAAATAAAATGATATTAAATGGATCAAGATTTTTGCCCTTTTTTGGTTGGCTTCTTTTTGTCACCCAATTCTTTTGTAAAGCTAAGTGAGAATTAATGCAGAATTACAGTAAAAGGAACGCCAGGAACAGAAATAAAAATAATTCTAGAAAAGCACTGAGCAGCATTAGGGTTACTTCATTTCCCAAACGACACATGATATTAAGGTTCTGAAAAAAGTAACTTTCACATCATTCCTGGAATTTCCCTGGCTACAGCTGAACCTTGAGAACAATTTTACCAGAAATATGATCAAATAGGAATGTGAAGTCTTGGAATGCTCTCAGATTTCAATGTTTTATACCAAACTGCTCATTTGCTAAATATGATTAAAGATAGACTATCAATGATTAAGAACGGTTAAGGTACAATCGAGTTGGATAATCATTACCTGCATAGGGTGGTATCGCCCCCACATCATTTTAACTCTTTTGTTCTGAAATGACGGGGGAGTTATTACTTCTGTGCAGACGGCCTGCTAGGAAGTGAATACCCGGCGTGCTGGATCCTGAGTCTACCCCCCCACACAGCAGGACCCAAGCTTCTTTCACTGCCTGTGTTTGGGGCGCAGGGTTTGCCTTTTCTCTGACGTTCCTTTACTAATGAAAGGCAAACTCGCTGTGCAGTTGCTTGCCCAGGGAAGCTGTATTTGAGTTTCCTGGCTTTGGACTTGAACACCCAGTCCACGGTGGCGTCAGAGAACACCCTGAGGAAACATTCCCTGCCCTACAGCATCTTTTTGTTTTTTAATCCTCACCAGAGGGTATGGTTTTACTGAATTAGAGAGAAAGAAAGAGGGAGAAGAGACAGAAAGAGAAAAAAGAAAAAGAAACAGAGAATAAAACAGAAAATGAGAGAGAGAAAAAGGAAGGGAGGGAAGGAGGGAGGAGGAAGAAAGAGAACCTCAGGCCTGCCCTCTACCCTGTGGCGTCCACCCCGACCTCGTGAAGCTGGGGTGCAGCTAGACTCCGGCCTCCCTGTGGCTTTTCGGTTTTCCTGATGTCTTTCCTCTCACCCTCTGCAGCCCTTGTTTTTTGTAGAAAGATCCAATCACCTTAACAAAAGAGACACATCCAGCAATTGCTGTTCCCAGTGTAATTCATCGTTGCCATGCGACACAGCACGCTTTGTCCACCTGTGAGGTTACCCCAGGATGCCAGGCCCCAGGGCCGAGACTTCCGCCGGCCACCAGCTTAGGCGGACTTAACTCTTCCCCGCCCAGGAAGGACTGGCCGGAGGGAGGAGGCAGCCAGGAGACTGGCGAACGGCAGCATGCTTTCTGTGTTCCTTCTGAGCACAGAGAAAGTTAGAAATTGGTATTTATAATCTTCTACCACACACCCCTCATATTAAAAAAATAAATATGTAAAATGAAAAATGACAGTGCAGCCAGGTTGACTAAAGAACAAGGCCGGAAAACGGCCTGCTGGAATGAGACAGACTGAACCAAAACAAAGGTGCCCTTAGGTTATTTGAGTAGTCGGCTTATTTTTGTAATTTAAAAACAATATTAAACCCACTAAATGTTCACTTACCACAGATGTGTAACAGATCAACTATTTAAGAGGGAAACATTGGAGGTAAATTTGCTTTTGACACACTGGATGAAACAAAAGAGAAAGCCTCCAGTATCACTGTTGATTCGTGTGCAGCTGGCTGGAGAGACTACTTTCACTTTTGAAAGCAATCAATTTGCTCAGGATGACAGTTTTTCTTCCTTCTGAAAATGCAAGCAATGATGGCGGCCTGCAATTTCCTTTCTAGCTATATTGTTAATAAAGCCAGGGAGGTTTTCAAAAGATTTAAAATTAAAAATATATATACTGATATAGAAACACAATGTACATATTTTTAAAAATATAAATGAACTCTATGCTTCCTAGATGCCAGCCAACTTTAACACTCTGACATTCAAAGCTATATTTTGCTCTTGAGAAAGCATAACACAATTAGGATAGAAGGGTGTGAATAAGGTGTGGGTGCCCGGTCCTTTGGGAAGGAACTGAGGATTAAATCACTGGGATCCTGCAAGAGAAGAGATGCAACATGCAGAGAATATTTCTTCAGAACCCGGATGGCACAACAGTGGGATCCTGTTTCAGAAAAAGTGCAAAAGAGCCTGGGACCTCCACAATACTTACAGAAAGAATCACCTACCTCCCACACGAAACTAAGTTCAATTGAAACAGAAAGACCTTTGCCTTACTTTAGGGCCCAGATCCACTCAGACGGAGGAGCCTCTGAATGACCAACCACCCTCTCTGCATCTGCATCACGCCTTAGAAGAGGTCAGCCTTGCTCACCTAGGGCTGTCCACAGCTGATTTCCACATTTCCCTTTTGGTTTAGAACAACAACAATCAAATAAAATACAATTTTTTCTAGTCTCTGCCAAATTAAAATTTGGAAATCAAAACAAAGTTATTACCCAGTTCTTGCTCTAAAATTTTTCCCAGACCAATCTCTTTCTGCATTGTCGCCCCCCCCATCCCCAGTCCCACCCCAAGACTGCCTCTCTTTCTCTCTACACACACACAGACTGCTGCTTGGTCTAATCTGGTGCCTGCTTAACAACAACAGAATGACAAGCAACATCTGTTTGTAAAAGAGCCAAAATGAAACCTTAACATTTTTGGCTAGGTTTCTTTTTTCTATTTTCCCTTGGCTCTAAAGGGGGAAGTATTAAGATTTATATTCAGCATTGGCTCCAATGAGGCAGCACTCTCCCCTCTAGAGCTCTTTCAAGGTAAAGCAATTTTAGGTAAAACCATCGCAGCATTTATGTCTCCCCTGAAGCGAGTCTTGTCACACCAAATCCAACATTCCAGATTCTTAAAAGCCAGAATTTTTTCCAATAGCTCTATATACATTCACCTTTTGATCAGAATCATAGGACCTTTTGTGTTTGTGTGTGTATGGGGGGTGAAAAATAAAACGAGAAAAGAGCAAGAAAGAAAAAGAAAAGAAATAGTTGAGAGGAAGGGGGCTCCACTGTGCCTCCCCTTTACAAGACAGAAACAAGCACATTTACACGTAGGGGGCACAAGGAGCAGCACTGGCTGCATGACTCTGTGCAGAAACCTGCACAGCTGTGGCCTCAGAAACAGCCTCTCTCATTCCCCAGGGAGACTTCAGTCTCTGGAAAGCTACCAGCCGTCCACAGTCCCAGTGTAAAGGAGCCACCAGCAGCCCACACAGTGTCAGTGTAAAGGAGCCACCAGCAGCCCACACAGTGTCAGTGTAAAGGAGCCACCAGCAGCCCACACAGTGTCAGTGTAAAGGAGCCACCAGCAGCCCACACTCCCAGTGTAAAGGAGCCACCAGCAGCCCACAGTCCCAGTGTAAAGGAGCCACCAGCAGCCCACACAGTCCCAGTGTAAAGGAGCCACCAGCAGCCCACACTCCCAGTGTAAAGGAGCCACCAGCAGCCCACAGAGTCCCAGTGTAAAGGAGCCACCAGCAGCCCACACTCCCAGTGTAAAGGAGCCACCAGCAGCCCACAGTCCCAGTGTAAAGGAGCCACCAGCAGCCCACACAGTCCCAGTGTAAAGGAGCCACCAGCAGTCCACAGTCCCAGTGTAAAGAAGCCACCAATGGTCCACAGTGTGAAGCCACTAAATGGGGAGGGGTTGAGTCAGGGAAGAAAATTAGGGAACTGTTAGAAACTCAACTTCTACTTCATTCAGGGTTTGGAAGAAATCCATACACATTAAGGGCAAAATAAATTCAGACAAGTTGCTAAGGAGACTTGTGTAAACTCCAAGCAGACACATTTCTTGGCCTTTCCCCCTGTGCTCCATCTTGCATTCTGATCACGCTGCTCTGCAGCAACACTGCACCAACTTTCTGCATTAATCCTGGCTTTCGCCATGCAGGCTGGCGCACCCTGGCTGCACATATCATCTTTCAAACTTAACAAGTTAAAAGGGTGTGTGTGTGTGTGTGTGTGTGTGTGCTCACACCCATGCATATACATGATTCATTGGAGGGAGAGAATGGGAGAATTTAATTAAAAATTTTTTTTAAACATAGGTGTTGAACAAAGAATACTTATACTTTGTGTTTGGGGAGCAGTGGGGAAAGGGGTAGGAGGTAAAACATCTAGAGCTGGAAATTTCCCTTTGCCTATGGACCTCATTCTCTCTCCCTGCTCCTAGCCTCTTTGTCCGCCCACACCCCGTGTCCTCTGACAGAGGAAAACTGCCTGGATCATGGCAGATGCTGATGTAGGGCCTAGGCTTCTGCAGAAGGCAGTCATTCCACAAAGGGGGACCCTGTCCCCCTGTTCAGGAGAGTGTCCCAGAGAGATTGGCTTGTTGAAAACAAACTGGGACAATTCTAAAACCTTTAAACCAAAGCTGTTTAGATTCTAAACCAGCCAGAACTTCAGAGAGCGACTTCAAACCGGTATCTATGCTCAGGGGCAGAAGATCCTCCCATAATGACATGGCTTTAGCAGCTGCTCACATGGGTCAACATTTGATTTAGGGGAAAATTTAACATTTTCTTTCAGAACTGAGATGTTTGTGCTGTAGAAGGCAATGTCTTTCTTTCTCAGCACCTGTGTTAGAATTTCTGAAATTTTCCCCAGAACAGAGAGGCAGTGGACAATAACAACAGCCTAAATTAGTGTTCAGGGTGCTGGGGCAAATCAAAGGGGGTGTGTGTGTATGTGTGTGTGTTTATATGCTAGTGCGTGTTTCCCTGCCTTGCTGTTGAGAACAGATTAGCAAGACAACCTAGGTAGGCAAACACTGAGTGTCTGTGTGCTCTCTTCCAAATTAGAGAAGTTCACAATGTCTGCCCCCAGCAGAGCAGTTCCCGTGAGGGGCAACCTACAAGCCTGCAGCTGTTCTAGTCACAATTCTCAGGGTGACCGTGGGCTGGAGACTGGTAAAGGAATGGAGAAAGCCTCTGCGTTCAGGGCATGGGACTGGGTGTGACTTCACGCTCCCGGGGGTCATGCAGCTTATGTCTCTGCCCTTCGCAGGCTTGGTTCGGTTTTCACACTAACGCTGTGTTGACTTGTTGTATTAGGGTGGCCAGGAAACTCAGGCTAACCAGTGGGGATTCTGCTCCTGCCATCCATTCTCAGAGAAAGACAGCCCTGCAACCAGCCCACTTGCCCACTCTTCACAGATGACTTCGTGAGCAAGCCCTGGACTTTAGGGACTTTAGGGAAGGGCGATCACTGGCGTTCTTCGTGACCTTTCTGCTATAAGGCATATCCTCAGGTGTTTCGTGGCACTTGAGCCATCATGACTTAATCAGAATGAAAAATGGACCTTGACAAAGAAGAGCAGGGTGGGCCTGTCCCAGCACGCAATTGGCCAATTGCCCTGTGACCTGCTAGGTCTTGGGTCAAGGGAATGACACCTGCATTTTTTCATTTGTTCAGGAAGCTGCAATAGTCTGAACCCCAGGAAATCCTGCCTAGTTGCATATTGGCTTATTTGTCCTGCCTGATAGGAATGGGAGGGTTCTCACCCTAATGTAAAGAATATTTGCTAGGACACTGGAGGATCCTATATCATCAAAGAGAGGAGGAGCTAAACTATAGGATCAATGCAATAGCTTGTCCTTTGTCCTCCAATGGAGGATTCTTTCCATCTAGATTGTAAAAAAAAAAAAGAGGCTCCCCTTTATAAAAAGTTGGCTTACTGCTTTCTCAAATTCCCAAAGAACAGAAACCATACTAGATACCTTTCATTACATCACCCCTCACCCTCCCTCCAAACCTGCCAAGTTTTGTGGGAAAAGGAAAGATACCAGTAAATAAATGATCAACATGGTAGACAAGCCTGGAAAAAAGACTGCATCAGATGCATAAAAAGTCAACTCAGATGACTTTAATATAAAATATATAGTTGCCATATCATATTAGAAAAACTTTAAGTCTGTTCTTTGAGATGAAGAAAGAAGAAACAGCCATATTAAAAGTGGTAAAATAATCATGTTAACAGTGCCGAACAAACAAAAATGTTGCTCAGATACATCTCAAAGTATTAAGTAATATAACTTCTATTTTTAACATTAATATAGTACATATTTATGTGTGTGTGTGTGTGTGTGTGTGTGTGTGTGTGTGTGTACTTGCCATTCAAGTCTCTCACCTTTAGCCTTGAGGTCAAATAC